TCACAATGAGGATGGTGAAACACTGGAAGAGAACACCCAGAGAAGTGGTAGATGCCCAATCCCTGGAAACATTCCAGGTCGGGTTGGATGTGGCTCTGAGCAACGTGATCTAGTTGAAGATGTCCTAGCTCATTGCTGGGGTGGGGGAACTTTAAAGGTTCCTTCCAACACAAACTGTTCTTTGATTCTGTGGTTCTATGATTCTATGAAATTTGACCTCAAAATGCAAGAGTTCCTGTATTACTCTGACCCTGCAAAGGAGGATGCAAAATGACAGTAGAGGAAGGCTGGGGCTTCCCTGTAGCTAGGGACCATGCATATTCCAGCTTGGGTTTGTTTGGGATCCCTGGATGTCTTTCTCCTTGTGAAAACCTCTTCCCTTCACTTAACCTCTAATAATGCCAACAAACGATTGTTTGGAAGGACTTCAACAGTGTCTCCTTACAGCCTAAGACTTTGAAAAGGCCCAGTAACTTTGCCTTATGCAAGGCAAGAAATGTTGACGATGTATACTTGTATGTGCATGTGAATATGTGTTATAATAAGGCTGTCTCAGATTAAGTCTCAGCCAGCAAGGAGCGAATCTGAGGCTGTCCTGACCCAGGAACTAAGAACAATAACCAGTCACCTACAGTGTTCTTCCAGGGTGAAAGTACTTCTTTTAGTAAATGATGCAGGGTGTTTTCCTGCTCCAAGGAAAGTCCAAAACAACTCCCAAAGGGTGTGTGTTCTTCACTTCATCTGTGTAACCAAGCTTGATCCTGCTGCAGTCCTCCAGTGCTCTAATGATGAAGTATCACAGGAAATGACCTCTCCCTTTCCACAGGCCCCACTTTCGTCCCCAGATGGACGATTGCCAGTCATTCACCAATAAAAATGCTCCTGAAATACAGGGTAAATGGCTTTATGTAGCTCTGTGGGGACAGAGTGGCATGCAAGAAGCCTCCCCATTTGCATGGTTGTGCAACGGATTTGCACAATAGCAAAGAGCTGGCTCAGAAGCACACAGGGACTGAAAGTTTGGGACCGACGTGCATACAAGGGTAGAAAGAGGACCAGGCAGAGGCAGAATCCTACCTATATACTAAATATTAGAGGCTTGGTGTCCAAGGGTAGATAAGAAACATGCAGAGATGCTACTTCTTTCTGATCCATGGTAGGAGCCTAGAAATCATCAACAATTCCAAATGTTTGCTAATGCTGTGTGCTCCTTGTCACGGGATCTGCAATTTCTCACAACAATTAAGACTGTGATTACTCATCCCTGCAACCAAGATTTCAAATTCCTTTCCTAGACCTGGTGTTATTTCTTTCTGGATGTATTACCTGCCTGTCGTATTAAAGACCCTCCAAAATCAATCTTCAGTCACTTGACTGAGCTGATCGAGTGAAAACATTGTGTGGATGGCAGTTTGCCCCTTTCAGGACTGCAAACCAATTGTGCTGCCATCATGCAAGTCCACAGATGTAGTGTCTTCCTCTTGCTGCCGTGCTTCTCCCACCAGTGCCAGATAATCCACCTGGTCAGGCTGGGTGGTTTGCCCACCTCCTGCCTCTGTGGGAAGTATGCCTCCTCCTCAGTGGAAGGAGAAACCTTTCCAGAGGCAGAGGGAGTGGAAGGAGGTCCTGACTGGGGGGAAAGAGAAGGCTGGCATCATGGTGGTTTTTCCACATTCTTACAGGGCTGACTTTCTCTTTTGCTTTCGCTAGGGGCTACCAAAGACATGGGGAAGATGCTGGGTGGGGATGAAGAGAAAGACCCAGATGCTGCCAAGAAAGAAGAAGAACGACAGGAAGCCCTCAGGCAAGAAGAAGAAGAGAGGAAAGCCAAATATGCCAAAATGGAGGCTGAAAGAGAAGTTATGAGACAAGGGATTCGAGACAAGGTAGGGATCTGTCCTTCAGCACACACTGGACAACTCATAATGCTCAGTGGAACACTACTGTTTTTAGTTGACTTGTGACCAGTTCCCTGAGCACCTAGACAGAGCCAGGTGGTTACTTTCCCACAATGAACTTTCTAATCTTGTGCACTGTCCCTTGAGCTCTGTCCCTGTTTAAACATACCTTCCAGACTGAAAAATTCTGCAAAGTTGAAATAGAGAGTGAAGATGAGGGGAGAAAAATGTCTATTTTTCTTATAATCTGTTAAATGCTCACCTCATTTTAAATGTTAGAGCTTTCTCTGTCCCTATGTGGGTACTTTCTAAGCTTGCATTTGTGGTTTGTGAGAAGGGTCATAATTCAGTGTTTCTGACAGATACAGTCCAAGCATCTTCTATATTGCTTCCAAGGCTTTCTTTGTGTTGGCAGGTGAAATTGGACAAATCTACTCTACTTTTCATATTTAGACTTCCACTATTCACAGGGGACTCATCTGAAAGAAAGTGAGTTTAATTTTTCTGACAGACTTGACCATTAGCAAGCACTCTCTTCTCCTTAAGTTGATTCTTATAATGATACAATTTGGTGTGAGAAGGGAACCAATAATTGTGAAGGTTCAGAATGAGATTGAAAAGGAGTATACAAAACATACCTTTACTAGAGAAATTAGCTTAATTTAAGGTAGCTGAGCCCATTGCTACCATTCATTAGCTTTTAGGGATTGATTTGTGGAGAAGACAGTTTTGCTGCAAGACTGGGTCAAAATTATCTCTTTAGAATAACTTACTTTTATAGGAAGAGGTCCTGGAGCTCAGAGAACTTGGAAAGAAATGTGGGTAATGGTTGGAGGAGGGGTTTCTGATGATGAAGGCCTGCATGTTGTCTTATATCACATGACAAAGAACAATAGAAAACACCTGTAGCCAGAATGAGGAAGTCCTGCTCAGTATAAGAGGTGTTCCCTGTGCAATGTCTACCTCTGTGCAGGTTACAGTGCCCTAAGAACATGTCTAGGAGAAAGCTTCAAAGTCTCATCAAAGAGCTGAAAGTGGCTGTCTATAAACAAAACTATGTCCACACTGGGCCAGAATTCTGACCCAATGCTTATGATTCAGGAGGTAAGCATGGATAAAGATGAATTGTTCTGTTGGCATAGTGCATCTTGTAAAAAGGTATCAAAAATTTTTCTGCAAATGAAGAAATTTGGGATTTGGCTTCTAAGGAAAGAAAGTACTTAGAGGGTCTTGTCTACCTGTGACACTGCCAGAGAAAAGTATTCATATGATCATTTAGAAGAGGCTATTAGTTACCAGAGAGACAGATTCAGAACCCCTAATCCACAACTGGTCAGAGTTTGTTGGTTTTGTAATGTATTTAATGAATATATATCTAGATAGCATAATGTATTAATATAAATATATCAGTGCATTCAGTGTATGTTTAATGTAGGTGGAACAGTTTCTAAGCAATGACATTGGTCTGTATTGGATACAAGTGGTGAAAAAAAAGGAGTAATGAATTTCTGAGTTGCAGGCAGATGGGCTAATACCCTGTTTCACTGGTTGCTGTCTCTTCTGCTGGACCATTGAAGTGTTCCCAGAGGTAGATGGGGATTGCATTTTTCTTGCTATTGGGGAAACTAGTGTAAAAGCACTTAAGAAATCTGAGATACGCTCTGTTGCAAATCCAAGGTGATCTAGACTAGAATTGACACGTTCATGAGTAGGATGCATACATCCTGAGCTTGGATGAAACATCCAGCCAACAGGGATTTCCCTGGGATACTGTCAGCTATCTTGACTTTGATGAGTCAGGCTAAGTACTGGGTGGTGAAGTCTCTTGGACACGCCTTGACTTCTGAATGATACAGGAAGGGGCTGGCTCTGCAGAAAGCATAAACAGGGATACTTGGAGGAATGTTATTTGATTTCAGTCAAAGCTCTGGATTACAGCTTTTCTAGTGGTGCGGTGTGTTACCTTTGAGATTAGCTACAGGAAGTCCTGCTTTGGGAAGTGCATCTGGCTTGTGAAAACACAGGAGCTGTTTCCTGTGGTTTTCTTTCTCCTGGGGATAATCCCAGGTAGCATGCATTTGAAAGATGAAGCTGTTTTCTGCAGAAGTAGAAAAGGTGGATAAAGGTTGTAGAAAGGATCTGGTTTTGTTTTTTTTTTTTTTTTTAAGTTTGAGAGTTCTGTGAGAGATTACTTTGTCTTGACAAAGAGATGGATTTGATGATATAAGAGATTTTGTCTCCAAGTATTGTGAATTGGTGGCTGGAAATGTGAAACAAATGTTTAAATTATAGAAAAAAGGCCTGGATTTTTTCTTCCATTACTTGTTTATTTAGAGATTACCTTCATTTCTTCACCAATTCCAGTAAAAGCAGAAATGTAGAGAAGAAGAAAACTGCAACAGAGATTCTGTCTAGTATGTATACATACACAAGTTGTTGTTAGCAGATATAAATTAAATCCAAGAAGTTTTAAGTATTAGAGATCTCCCTGATGACATTTGAGTCATAACATGAGTTGAGTGAGTGAGTAGGAACAGATTATTTATGCAGAATACAAGTTTGAAAGTGTGTGTCCTAGGTCATGAACCCACAGAATTACTCTCTTAATGCAGCTGCAGGATATCAGGGAAACAAACCAGGGAATCATGGCTTCATCAGTTAGTTAATATGGCTCTAGGTGAGACCTACAGAAAGGACAGGCTCATCATGTTTGTTGTTTTGGACTTTCTGCCTTTGCTCTTCAACAAGTGTAATGAATACACTCTCTTGTTTAGGCTTCAGGAAATGTGGCAGAGCTCTATGGCAGAGCTTGAAAGGAATGATGACAGATACCATAGATATGTTCCAGCATGTGCTGGCTTTAGGTTTTAAATCCAGTCTGTTTCATTGAGATACATATGCCCTCAGCCCAGAATGGCAGCTGGGCACAGAAATGACTTAGGGAAAGGGTAAAATGAATTATGCAGCAATTAAATAATTTTTCGTAAAAGTATGTAGCATTTTCATTGGAAATTAATTTTTAAGGATGACATTTGGGCATGACATTCTGAAATAACTGGACCACCAGTTGTGCCCCAGCTCCTACCCAATATTAAAGTCCAGAATCTGACCTGAAAATGGTTTGAAAGGATGTAAAGAACATTACTGAGGTATACTGCAGCTTCATTCTACCTCAAAGTGCATGTATACAGCTTGCTTTCTGATCTGATCTGTGCTTGACATCAACACTATTGCCTCACAGATTTTCTGGGCCATACCACAGCTGTCTCTGGGGAGAGGTGCCACACCTGACCAACACAGGCAAGACTACTGAGAGGCCTTCAGTGCCCCTGTGCCTGATAGGTCAGGGTCTGTTGCCAGTGCCTCAGTGGTGAAGCTGTGGATAGTTAATATTCCTGTTACCTTACTACTAGCAAGTAATACAAAGTGCTATCAGCTTGCTGTGCTAGAGCAGCAATCATGTTTTCAGTGCTCTTGAGTGGAATACCGCTTTCTATAAACAAATGACCTTGTTTGTGTTATATACCTGCACATCTCAGCAGTGAAAGCTAATTACTTTCTTTGTGTAATGATCCATAATTACCTATTTACATAATTAATTATTTCCACCACTGTGGTAGAACCCAGGCCTGAGAGAGCTCTAGTACATGCTCTGTAATTAACACTTGTCTTGGCTGCTAGTGAGTTTTTTGCCTGTAGTTTGGCTTCCTATAAACCTTACATGTACTTTAGAGACTTAGCATTGCTGAATCCATCCTGAAAAGTAGCAAGAGCTCAAGGATATCCCTCTTGAAAATGGTGGGTTTCAACCAAAAATGATGTAAGCATGATCCACTGCCTAAGTGGCTTGGCTCCAAGGCAGAATTTAGGTTTGAATTTAGGCCATGCTTGAGATGTTAGAGCATTAACTGCTTTAGTAGCTATTGTATACTCAGTTCTCAGAGTGAAAGGTGGAAGTATCTCTGCCCCAGCTTTTTTCTGACCAGCCTTATGTGCTGTGGGGAATAAAGCAGAAGTTTAGTTATATTAATAAGGATTCCTGCCATCCAAATTGAGCATGAAATCTGCATGAGAATTAAGGAAAGGTGGCAAATGGAAGATTCAAGTGCTGGATGAATTAATGTTGTCTCTACAATTGTAATTGACCCTCTTGGGTGCTGTGTAAAGATTGTGGCACAGTGCTTAATTGCATGTTCATATGTTTATGCTGCTAGAAACCTCAGCTCTCCCATTGCGCAAGATGAGGTTAACTTAATAAGCAGACGTCCAGTATTTCACCTCTGCCACACCTTACAATGTGTGTTCTCAGGCTCATTTATTATGCAGTATCAAAATTCTGACAGCAATATAATAAATTTCCTCATCTGAGGGTTTAATTCTTTGTTGTTTATTATGCTTTCACTAACATAGTTGATGAGTTCATCCCAAGCATGGTTTCTTTTGAGATTTATCTGGGTGGGGGAGTTTTGTTGAGTATTATGTGATTAAAGCCTTGGTGGCAAAAGAATGTTAACATCTTGCTGCACTAGTGAGCCTCTGTGGCACAATAAAAAATGCTCAAGACTTCTTTGTCCCTTTACAGAATCACAGAATCATTAAGGTTGGAAAAGACCTTTAAGATCATCAAGTCCAATCATCAACCCAACACCACCAAGAACACTAAACCGTATCCTGAAATTCCACGTCTACACATTTTTTGAACACTTACAGTGATGGTGACTCCACCATCTCCCTGGGCAGCCTGTTCCAATGCCTGACCACTCTCTCAGTAAAAAAATTTTTCCCAATATCTAGTCTAACTCATCTTACTGGCAATAGTGGAATAGTGAAGTTGAAGTCTGGGGTTTGATATTTGTTTCTGCAGGCAGCATATCACACAGTAGGAGAATGTGCAGTCCTTGTTCTGTTTAAGTGTGAGTCCTCTGTCTCTGAACGTGTGACATTAATTCTTCCCATTTTTCTTATTGGGCTGTTAAATGCTTTCAATGGTTAGGCTGAAAGATTCTCTGCAGTATTTGGAATTGTCCATGTCCCAGGAAAGCCATAAAAACTATTCAGTTCTTTGT